TTAAATTCTGTGCTCTTCATCCTCACAGGGCAGGAGAAGCAGTTAGAATGATTGCTAGAAAGTTGTTATCTTTTCAGGAAATGAATCATGAGAAAATCCTAAACATACACGAGGAGACACCCCCTCCCCCCCAAACTTTAGAAATCTAAAAATAACTCCCAGATATAAGAGCTACAGCTAAAGAAAGGTGGAGTTACTATCAACTCTGTTTACCAAACTTCAAAGGTATGTAAGCAGAAAAGGTTTAAAACACTGGAATCCTCCTGCTGGGGCAGCCTCACTCCGAGAAAATGTTGCATGTCTTTTGTTGAATTATGCCAGAGCAGCTACATATCTTTTAAAGCTATCCCCCACAATACAGGGCTTGCTTTGTTTTGCTAGAGAGATAGCAAAACAAGAAAAAACTCTGTATAGCACACACATTGAAGCCTGCACAATTGAAATGGTTCTGATTGAACTCTGACAAATTATAACCTGCAGGTATAACGAGAATTTTCCATTTTTGCCTAACACGTATACGTTTTGTCTCTTCCATTTTTCCTTTCCTGCAATGCATTCAGCACAGCAAGGGCTGGAAAGAAATCTGATTGTGAAACTGATAAATTGTCTTACATAGTTTCCCTATTTTGGCCATTGCCATGGTCTGGATCTGAAAGTGCTTGGAATCCTCCTTCTCTCGCTTTGTTTTAACAAGCTTCTTCTCGGTTACCCATTGCCAGTGCTGTATTACCTACACTGCATATGATTTTTTTTTTCTATCTCATATTCTACGTCAGCTCCAAGCAGCCTCAGTATAACAGCAGATGAGATGATTTATTTTTATCACTCACTTTTTCTCGAGAGAAAGAGAACCCCTTGGCCCTCCCCTCTCTACTAGCTTCCTCTTAGCACAATCACATCTTGGCAAATGGGGTCTATAAAATGCTACTGAATTAAACCAGCAAAATGTTTCATCATATTTATTTTGCAATCGCCGTGATAGACTCTTTGCTGGTCTGAATAGCTGCAGTCTCATTGATTTGAGTGGAGTTTTCCTTCTTTGCATGAAAAGGGAATTAGCTCAACATGGACAGGCAGCCAGAAGTCATTACAGATGACAGACAGCAGAGGATCAGCCCCGTGATTTCAGGTCTGATCGCAGTTGTTTGCAATTCTTCTGCATGCTCATGGAAGACACTTTATGTGTTAAAACTTGCTGCAAGCCTTTGATATCTTTGACCTTTTAAAAAAAGTCTTTTAAATTTCGATATTCCCTAAGAAGACAGATGGTATTTTTTGATTGAATAGATAGAGATTTCATGTCTAAACGCATTTCTTGGTTTCACTTTGTTGGACTAGTTAACTGCTCTCTGTATGTTCTATGCTGCTCACAATCTTTTCTTGTAATTTGTTTGTGAATGATGCTATCAAAAAGTTACAAAGAATTAAATGTGCAGAAATCCCCCTGGAAAACATCAGTAATGTCCTGCTAGTGTCTCCCTTTGGATCCAAATGGGAATATTCGGGTACATACAGTCCTACCTGCAGCTACGCTTGCAAGCCAAAAATTGCCCTTGATACCTTCTGATGGGAACAAATGTTTGACTCCAGATGCAGTGAGTAACCAGATACAGATCCTCTGGAAGTAGATAGGGAAGCTGTCAAAAAATTGCAAAGCCTGTCAAAAGCTTTGGCTCTGGAGATGGTGAGAAAGAGCCTTCCAAGTACTGATGCTGAGCCGGGGACATGCTGGGTGCAGTGCATCTCTCTTGGTTGCAGTCTCATGAAACAACAGCTGAAATACCAGAACTGGTGCCCTGTTTTCTTCTTCCATCACCTGAATAAGTCATCTGGAAACAAGGCAAATGATACATTTTCAACAAAAGAAGGAAATCCCTCTGAGCAGTTCTCGTTTACGGCACAATCATAAAAATCCTGGCAAAAAATCAAAGCATTTCCATATCAATTCAGTGCACAGCATCGTTAGCAGTCAACAGTTAAAGAGCTGGTGCAGGGGCAGAAGACAGAGGCTGCTGTGTTCTTGGTGCTGCAGCTCAGACAGAAGATGAAATCATGGCAGCTCAACATTTGGTGAAGACTTAACTACTGATTTTCTGGCTTTATGCTGGAATAAAACCTGCTTGTGCTTGAAAAACATTTTGGTTGTTAGGAATGTGTATCTGTGTGTTTGGCCCTAATTATTTAACAAAACCTTCAAACCCAAGAAATACAACTACCTACTTTTAGCAGAGCTGTGGGAGACCATAGCTGCAATCTGCTTGGTGGTGAGATGGTTGCAGCACTGTATTTGTAAGGGTGTTTTTTTACTGTAATGGGCAGAGAGTGATTTTGAATGTCTTATAAACAGGTGCGTGGTACAGGAAAAAAAACAACAGGCCATATTTTTGACCTTGGCCGTATTGTTTATGCCTTTAGCAAGTGCCACTTCTTATTCAGTATTTAAAGCTTGTTTTCTCTACATAGTACAGACCCAGGACACATGGCTGAAACTGAATGTGGAGCATCGGACATTTATTGAGGAGGTGGAAAATGTCTGTTTATTGTAGTTTCAGATTTTGGCTTGGGTCAGAAACAAATTTTTCAAATTTTCAAAATATTTTGGTCTATTGATCCTTGTGACATTTTTGTGTTTATTTCAGACACCAAGGATAAATGCAATAAGAAAAATTTCCAAACAGATTCTATACTTAGTCTGAATTAAACCAAAAGCCAAATTTCATACAGGGACCTTAAGCATTTGGTACTTTAGGAGATGATAATTTCCAGAAGGGTGGTTTTCTGTGGTGGTATTCTGAATGTCCCAGTTCTTGGCTGCCAGGCTTGTAGGTTGAGAAACATTGAGGCTGCCTGCTGACCCATATCATCTGAGATCTGAGTCTATTTAATGAATCTCAAATTGAGCATCCAAAACCAGAAACACTCTGACTCATTAATCACTGTGAGAGATCTTGGCCTAACCGTATCAATTAAGAACAATAGTTCCCTAGTAGAAAAGAAACATGATGATGTGTTTCCAGTGGTAGTCATGATATTATGCGTCACTTACATTTATTTATCAAAGATAAGCCCTTGTTTTACTTTGGAGATGTAAATCAGCATCACCATGACTTTGGGGACCTTGTGTGTCTGTATGTTCATATATATTTTAGACTAATGTTCGATGATGTGTCCTTCAAAGGTCGCTAAAAATCCAAGTCTTGGTCTAATAAGATGAAGACTTCACTGAAACGCATCGTATATGGGGTGCTAGAATACTGACACTAATACTCTGCTGCACCGCTACACAGCAGAAGATTAGTGTAAAACTGCTGTTGCTGCTAATAGACGTTGGGTTTGTTACAGCGACAACTGAAAGTTTTAGTCTGTGAGTGTTAAAGAGTTTTTCTGATAAAACTAAAGGGTGTTGTAGAAATGAGATGTAGAACATTTTGGAGAAGGGTGCAGTGCTATGCATAATTTATTGGGCACTGTTTGTACAGTCAATTGTTAAGTTATAAATAAAATATAGCCTTAAAATAAAGATGAAAGGCCGAAACTGTGAGTAGTTATTTCCTCTGCATTTCTATTTCAAAAAAATAGTTTCCAAGTTTGTTCAAAGAGTCACAGTTTGGATTGGTTATTGATATTCACAGTGTTGTGCCTATTTTTGGATGTATCGCAAGACTTTCTTTGCCACGCAGAGTGCCGTTCCCTCCAGTAAATCTTTTGCAGGCTGCAGGACCATTCTTAAAGCTCTGTGACATGCCCAGGCACAGCCAAGGGGAAACCGTGGGGAGGCAAAAGAGGCCCTGAGATACCAAAATTCCGGGTCCCAGAGTTCCTGAAGAATAGTTTGGCTTGCCTCATTGACATAAGGTCCCTGGCTGTTCCAGTTTGGCACCTACCATCATGGTACGTCACCCCATCCCATCTGAACCTCAGCTCCCATTTCTTTTAGGCTGAGGACACCGAGGGTTGGCACAGGGACCCACTCCACAGCCTGCGCCAGACAGATGCCTTCTGCCAACAGGGAAGTCCCTTGAACTGGACAAATAAGTTTAGTGGATTTAAGAATACAGTCCACAGACTTTTCAGAATAGTTTATTATAGATCTTTGCATTGGTGCTCAGACTGAGGTGAGAAAGGTTTGTCCCTAGAGCCTCTGAGCAGGCTTTTTATCCGTGGTGGAGGTATTTACTGAACGTGAGTAGGAATAGCACAGGGTGGGCCTGATGAAACAACAGGGGTAAAATATATCATTTTATTGTAGGTCACAGGCTAAGCATCCCTTGCAGGTACTGCAGAGCACCGGGAGGTGCCTGGTTTGAAATCTCCCAGTTCTCCTACAAGTGGTGCTGATGCAGAGCTGCGATACTGAGCAAAAACATTCTGGCTGCTGAAGAGGAAAGACATGACCAATTTGAACTTAGGAGTGAAACATTTCCTAGAACTGAGCCTGAATAAATTCTGGAACAGTTGAACAGGAAATAAGCTAATAATGGGATTTTACAATATGCATTTCCCATATAAGGCATTGAAATGCAGCATGGGTTTGTTTGCTGATCTTCTGGCTATTTTGGTGAAAATTTTAGGCTTCTTCATCCTTTGTGCTCCATTACAATTGCGCGGACTTTGCTCCATTCCAAGTGGAAGCGTTTCATCTCGCCACTGTCATTGGTGGTCCCTGGATGGACCATTCCTAGACCAGACCAGGGAAGAGACTGGTTAACAACTCCTCCTTGCTGCCTTTTGTTTGTGTTGGGGAGCTATTTCCTTTAGCCCTTGAGACTGATGCATAGGAAGGGGAAGAGAGGTGGGGAGCGCCTGTCTCGGCGCAGTTCATGCTTCTGAAAATAAGTTCCCCAAAATCCGATGTGGGGAAAGGAAGCCCTGGCTCCAGGGAGCCTGCTGTCTCCCTCAATAAACAAAGGACTGGATTTGGGCAAGTTGCCCAAAGTGTTGGTGCAGGGTGCATTCCCGTCCTTACTGCTCTGCCTGGCCTTTTAAGGCTATGTGACAGTATGCCGGAGACCACAGTAAGGTGTGTAATTCAGCGATGATTAATGAGCACAAGGCTCTTCTGCAGCTTCGGTGTTTCTGTAGCATTGGTCAAATTCCCTTCTCACGAGTAACTCACAAAGATTTTCAGAGTTTGGCCTCTTCTGCACTGTGAGTGCAATCTCTTGCCAGCTCTTATGCTACATTAATTCAGAGCCATCTACCTTTCCAAATGTGCTCTGTATTGTGGAACAGGTTTTGCTTGTAAATGTGAGGCCAGATGTTCAGAAGAGGAGAGCTCCCGTTTAGGCATCTAGCAATTACTGCTGTGACACATACCGATCGCAGCTGAAAATCTGAAGTCCGTCTGCTTAGACAATAAAATACTCAGGCTGGCTAGTTCGTGCAGTACTGTAAGAAGTGGCCTATATGCATATATAGGCCACTATATGCATATAATTTAGGAGTTCTTTCAAAATAGCATGCACTGAATCACAGTCTCACTTAGTTTTAAAACACAAGGTTGTGCCTAACTAGTTATTTTGATTTCTTGCCAAGCAGGGGCCCATTTTCCAGTTACAACTAATGTTTTCCCCCTTTTTTTTTTCCCTGCAAAATCTGTTAATGAAGGCTAAAGGAAACAAGGAAGATAGGTCTACTGGCTAGGTAAGAAATAGGTCTGATTCATTACTAAATGTTTCTTTTTTTTTTTTTTCCTAGTGACATATTCGATGCCATGTTCCCCGTCACACACATCGCAGGAGAAACTGTCATACAACAGGGTAATTCTTCCTCTTATTTTTTCCCTTGTATGTTTGCTAAGATTGTACAATTCACATCTCTGCATTTGAGATTTCCCCCTCTTTGTTTAACGGGAAGAATAACCATATTCCAAAAGCTTTTAAGTGTGCAGCTATATCATAAGTTCACAGATGCAGGTCTTTTGCTACATGTGCAGAGATCTACAAAACCACACTGTAGGTGTCCAGGGTTTCAAAGTGCTACAGTTAAATGTAGATAAATAGCACTTCAAATTAAAATGTTCATTCTTTAACTGAAGATAGTCAGGAAGTAAACTGCAGCTCAGAAGGCGTAAGGGTGGCACAGGCTAGCTGAGAGTAATTAGAGATGGAAAATATTTGTATGGTTGTTGGGAATATTCAACACCTCATTGTGCTGTATCGTAGTTATCGCACTTGGCAACTTACCTGCGTGCCTGCAGCGTGTTGTGGAGGACTTCATTACCCTCAGGCTATATTAAAGCCTCTTGTGTGTTTACACTGAGTGAAGTGTTGAATCAATCCAAAGAGATAAATTAATGCAATTGAAAGATATTAATAGGAAGAAATGATAGCAATATTTTGATTTATGAAGGCAAATAGGCAAGGATGTTTCAGAAAATGAATCTCTTGGTAAGTAATCTGGTGTACAAACCTGTGCATATATGTACAGGATTGAATCTAGAGACAGGAAATTATTGAATAGTTTAGCAGACCTTCAGGAAACAATCACCTTTTGTATTTTGCTTCCAGGTGATGAAGGAGACAACTTCTATGTGATTGACCAAGGCGAGGTGGATGTAAGTACGCTCTTACAGTATAATATTTATTTTGAAGCTACATAATAAAGTTGTATGCTCTGGCACACAGCTTGATCCAGCCATGTGCTGTGGTTCTGTCTCCTTTCCTCTTGAAATAAATTTCACAGGATTGGTCTCATTACTTTGCTTCTGTTGTGTTAAGTCATTTGTGCATAATTTCGTAATTGGCATGTTTTACATCCTAGCTTATTTGTCCATTCCAAGCAGGAAAATATGGTATCAAAACCAAACAAATGACATTACCTTCAGAACCCTAACCACACCTGGAGGTGTGCAGTCTTTGGCAGAGCAGGCCACCATGCTGGAATGCACCTGAGGGTTCAGATCAACCATAAGGAAAATATTTTCTTTAATCAGTTAGCTTAACTCATGTGTTGGTTTTTTGTTGTTTTTTTTTACCAAATTGAGATGCAGCCTAAGGCAGCAAGTTTCATCTTAGAAACCTTAATTTGCTTTTAAAATTAGGTCCAAATATACGAACAATGCAGCATATTAATAAAGCAAGGATTATTATAAGTGTAAAGCGATCTGTTAGACCACAAAATGTTTACAGGAGTATGCGGTGGTTTAATCAGCGAGTCTTTGAAAAGAAGCTTCTTTCTGAACCTGGCTTGCAAATCGTAACCTATTCGCCTCTTATCATTTTCATCCCCTATGGAACTCACCCTTTTGCAGTTTTGCTACAGGTTCCTCATTTGACTGAATTTTCTACACACACCTTACGTATCCACATCTGTTGGATAGGAGAGGCTTGCTTATTAGCAACGTTGCTCTTTGGATGCCCAGATGAGTTTTGTTTGGCATATTTAAAGAAGAAAGTAATTTATTTTAAATCCGGGCAGGAGGCATACAGTTATTTTAGTGAAAGTTGCTTTTTTTTTAGCAGTCTGTTTGTGTCAGGAGACCATCTAATTGGTATTGTTGGGAACTGAGAAACCTCACATGCTGCCTCTGCCTCTGGAAGTTGCTCCTCAGGAAATCCGTCTGACTCACTGTTCCTATCAGGCATACCTCTCAATAGCAAACATTGCCACATCCACAGGGCTAGAAAATAAAAGAAGAGTATTTATAGAACAGCGCTAAAATTTAATTTTAAAGTAATTGGTTACGGGCTGATACTGAGCTTAATGAGTTCACTGGCTTTGAATCAGACCCACAAACATACGCAAATGCACATATTGAAGTTATAGATTAATCCTCTTTAAAAATAATTTGTTCTCGCTCAAAACCTTTAGGAAAGTTTTCTTCTGTGTCTGGCTCAGGGCTAGTGGGGGACCGAATGGCATCAGAAACTAGTCAGCAAAGCTCTTGCAATTGATTGCAAAAAAGATCACCTTCCATATGCACACATCACTCTTACAAAGCAGTGACAAAATGGGGAAAATAAATGTCCAGGGCCCAGCCAGCTTCGTGTTTACTTAAAAACCATTGCACAAGGTGGTTTGTGGATTTTCTGTGGCTGGTGGTTGCCACTTATGGCCAACATGGCTGTGGCTCTGCAAACAGTGAAGGACTTGTTTAGAGCACTGGTTGCTGTATTCTCTGTTGGGTAAGATGACATCTTAGTTTCCTTGCCAGGTATATCCTAACATCTGCTCAGAAACACCTTTACTGCATCACGTTACTTGTATATCAGAGATTCTCCATGGTTTTAAGGCAAGTTGAAATTTGTAAATAATCTTGACCACAAGTGGCCCAAGAAGAGATCTGTGTCCAGATCATTTTTCATTGATCATTTTTTGAGTCCATTAAAGTCTTTTGCAGAATAATCTTACATTTCCCAGAACAATTCAGGGACCTGTGAGGGTCCTGATGCAGGATTTGGGGTAAAATCTGAAAAACTACCACAGTGGCTAACTGACCTCAGTGCTGCTGCAATGCAATTACGTGTAGGCTCTTAAGCTGGATAGATGTTTTTGAAAAATTTATCCCTGACCCCTGATTTGACGAGCTAAGCACCAGTCCTCCTCTAAGCATGTGAGCAATTCTGTTGCCTGCAGTGGGGCTCACTGGTTTGCTGAAGAGGGAGCATAGTGCATAGCTTTATTTTACACTTAGAGTTGAAGGCAGAAGTTTTCTTTGTATTCTGAGTAGTTTGCAGTCCTCCAGTCACTTAGCTATGATACAGGATATAAATTTTTCCTGCCTTGTCTGTGAGACTTGCAACAGCAGATTTTCTAAGCAATGAATGCAATGAGTTTCTTCAAGAAGATCACTACTTTGCTTTGACAAACATTCTCAATCCCTACTCCCCTACTTGCCAAAATCAGCCTATATCTGCTAGGACAGGTCAAAATGACAGATCCTCAATAATGTCACCCTGACACTTCTCAGGCAAAAGTATGGACAGTTTTCTGACAAGAGCTGCGGGACAAATACATCCTAACAAGTCTTAAGAGATGTAGTTTGTACTGAGCTTATTCCAGGGGCAGCCAAAGCTCCTGACCCCTCTGAGCCTTGCAAGACTCATGTGTGACCAGCTCTCATGCTGTCCCACTTCAGCATCCCCCTTCTTTCATCCTGCTGCACCTTACCACTGCTCTCCTCATCTCCTCAGCTGGGTTCTCTCCTTCCTATGCCTTTCCTATATCTTCAGTCAAAACACACACTGAATTCCTTTGCAAGATGCTGTGGAAGGCACAAGAAGCATTCGCTCATTCAGGAGCAAGTTGCAACTCCACCCTGGTAGCTGCAGGAGTTACCTACGTTAACTGTCTTTGCTGGGAAGGTGCAGGGATGCGAGCCCATTTTCCCCTACAGAGTAAAGTCTGTCCCAGGGCACTCACTGCAGAGTAACTTGCTCCTGTATAAGGCAGCAGCTCCCAGACCCCAGGGGTGTGCACTGTCACACCGTATATAGTGCTCCCCAGAAGAGTTATTCCACTTTCTGGGCAGCAGTGCTAAAATCCTTGTTGTCTGAAGAAAATCCAGACTGCTAGTAAGCGAGCTGCAGTTCATTCAAGCCTTGCCAGATACTTTTTTGGCATGCTTCCACCCTTCTCCAAGAAAAAAAGCGACTTGGAAAGTAGACAATTGACCCCGAGACTTAGAGCCTCAAGCCATTTTCTGCCTAGTTCAGCTGGTGTTGGCATATGCATGGAGGCTTTTAACCCCTGGCCAGGCTATCTGCCTTCATCATTTCCCTGAGCTGCACAGAGTGGCAGGTATACCAGGACTGGCGGATTCAAGGAGCAATTTACTCTGAGAACAGCATGACTGATAAGTTCCCGGGCTTTCATACACATGCAAAGATATACATAAAGGAGGTTGCAATTACTATCACAAAATCCCCATCACCTGGAAGAAAGTAACGGCAAAACTGAAAAAAAAATAATAATATCAACCAAGCAACCAAAACCAAGCAGAAACCACCGGGAAAGCCAGAATAACAAAATCGGTGTGTGGTTTTTGAGTTTAAAAACCTGCACCATTTAAAAGTAATTTACTGTTAGAGTTTTGGCATAGGCACCCCAAAGAGTAAGTAAGAGCATTCTAATACCTTCCCTTAAAAATAATCTGAGTCAAATTAGAAGTACAATAAAATATTTTTAAATATAGTAACACTTTATCCTCAACTCTTACACGTTCTTAGGGTATAAACAAGCCTCGTTAGCATAGAATAAAGTATCTGGACATTTCCTTCTTGATGTTACTATGGACAGCCAAGGAAGACTCAATACCCTTCCGTTGGCAAGCACACTCCCATGGACTGCGGGCCAAGGGAGAAGGGCACAAATTTGCAGATGTAAAAGAAGGCTTTTTAGAAATCAGGAAGAGGTAGGTCTTGGAGAACCTGGGGTTTTCCTCTCATACACGGTGTACTACAGGCCAGGTATGCTTTGACCAAAGCTGTCATTGGAGGGCAAAGGACATTACAGCGTCATTAGTTGCGCTCTTCCTCCTTAGCACTTCAGGGTTGAGGAGAACTGTTAACTCGTGACCCAGCCCTGCAGATGGATAAAGTTTATGTGAGGTAGATGATGGCATGAGGTTTGAAGTCTTAGAGGTCAATTGTCTACCGGAAGCTTTTCTGCTCAGACAAATGTGAACGTATGCCAAAAAGTAGCTGGCAGAGCTTAAATTATAGTTTCCAGTAAAGACGTTGAAAGTACCTGCTAAAGTATGTCTTGCAAAAATCTCTAATCCATATTTCTAAATATAAAAATGACTTCCTGTTCATTATTTTAATCTTACAACCTCACATTTTTTACTTTAAAAAGCACCGGCAACTACCCTTTTAAAACACATGTATTTTTTTCAGACTCAACAACTTCCTATTCTATTTAATGTCACAGCAACTTTCTCTACAGTCATTCTCAAGTTTTCTTCTTGTAAAACAACAGCAGCCAAACTATAGTATGGTAAAAATAAAAATGAAAACTTTTCAGTATTTTTTCTTAAGTAAGTTCTGGATTTTTCTGTATAAATCTATATGTGGAGCTATACATGAATATTGTAGACAATAGACAAGATTATCTTTTGATTGCAGGTCAAATCTTCTTGAAGCCCTTATTCTTATATACAAACTGTCTAATTTGTATATACAAAGATGAAAATTACATGATGGTTTATGTGAGAATACTGTTGGATTTTAAAACTAGATATATTTATGGTTAGATTCCTTAGATTGCTTTTGGTTTGAATTCTTCCATCATTAATGATCTTTCTAATTTCAGAAAGATGCTTTTTGAAATTTGAAACAGAACATTTTAAAGTTTGGAGTTTTTCAGCTCGAATTTTTAAGGATTTTCAGGGCAGTCTCCAAGTTCGTGTATTTATATTTAAGAAAAGCAAATTCATACTACAAATAAAGCACTGGCTTTACTTAAGAAAATTACCCACATATAAATACCCTTCATGTCTAAGGCTTGCTTATTTTTCCAAGAATAAATAAACCTCATCTTCATGTTTGGATAACAAATATTAAGGCTTGACAAGACACAAAGCACAAATTATTACAAACAGATCCGAGGGAAGGGATTTAAGATCTAAAAGTTGCAATGCCTGGAACAAATTAGATTGTCCACATAGATTACAAAGTGGCAAACACAAAAAAAAAAAAAGCTAAAAGTTCACTTGAAATTAGCAATGCAAAATTAAAATAAATGTGAATTAACTCCAGTGAAGCTCAGAGATAGATGTTCATATCCTGCCTTTGAAGTAAAATGGCTATATTACTGCTCCTGGTAAGGTTACTTTCTGCTTCTCTAGACAACACGAAGATGAGTGAGGCCAAGATGCATTCCTCTTGCATTGAGCATTGTGTGACTCATTGCATTTTCCCTCGCAGTTAGCGCCTATGTATATCGCAGCCCATGAAGAAAGGAACTGCTGAAGATCACAGGAGATTTTTCCCATTTGCCTCCTAAAAAAATAATAAAATTAACCAAGTTGTGTGATTTTCAAGCCCACAAAAATTGCAGTGCTTATACTACATGATGGAAAACAATAGAAATCTAAAGTACTTTTGATCTGCGGAAAGTAGGTGGTCCTGATGGCTTGGTCATATTTGGGCATCTGCAGTTCTATATTCTTCTTCAGCTGCATGAAAGAAGAAGGTTCCAGCTACTACGGAGCTGTGATCGGCAGGTCAAGTAACAATTAGGAATAATTCACTTATGTACTCACCACTTTGGTGAGAGTTCACAAATGCCTAAAATTGCCTGAACCAAAACCTCAGCCCAGCATTTTTTAGGATAAAGAAGGAGATCGTCTGAGCTGCTGCCATATAACATTGCCTTGCATAAGCTGTTCTGAGCCTAAAATAGTTTTACTTCCCACACCTTACAAACAGAGCTACTTTCCTTTCTACTTCTTTTTTTTAAAATCTATTTTAAAGGGATTCATAGTGGAGCTGAACTCTCTGTTAAAGGGCAGAATGGCTTTGTAACATTCTGTCAATGCTCTTTAACTTGATCATGAAGACAAAAGTTGATTGTTGACTTAGGCCTTTGCAGAGAATGAAGTGCAATGGGTTTCCTCCTAGAAAACAACAATTATTCTCGAGCTGTTTTCTCTTTTGGAGATTGATATCGGAAATGGCATTTTTATTGAGGGAGTGAATGCTGGGCCCAAAGACTGTCAGATCAGTGGTTTGCTTTCACCTCAGAGTACTTTAAACCTGACACCCATAGGGTGGAGGAACAGCCATTTGCATAAACTGTTTACAGGCGAGATGTCAAACACATTTTGGGGACTCTTGTCAAGTAAGACAGCAAAATTAAAGAAGTCTTAGAGCATTTTAATAGTAGCCTCTCTTTATAACAGCCGTACAAAAGTAAATGTCCATCCTTTGCTTATTCTACCTTGTATTTTACCAGTGTCATTCCCCTCTCCGAGCTGCAGTCATCATGCATACTGCTTTTACAAGAAATGTCACCATATTACTTAAAAAAATATGTGTTGAAATGAGTTTATTTCCCGCTTATAATTCAGACCCTTCAGCAATAACAAAACCTGTGCTTTTCAACAAAAGAGCATATAGAAATGTGTATTTTTGGTGTGCTGAAAAAGAGTCAAGGATGCAATGATGTCAGTTGACATTCAGGATGTGGTCCAAAACTCATTGGAATTATTAGATTTTCCCCATCGTCCCTGTGACTTTTTACTGAGGACATGACTTGCTGTACTGTAGCAAACCCTGGGTCCGTCCGGTGAAATCTGCACAGAAAAGGGGGGATCCCTACATTCAAATACGCATCTGGACAATTTTGCAATGGATTAATTGAGTTTAAAAATTTTCATGCATTCTCATTATCTTACAAGCCTTTCAGAATCCTAATTTTATTCAGCCATTTCTCCTGCTTGTCTCACAAAAAAAAGATCTAGGAGCCACAGTATGACCTGCTTGTTTCACCAGGAAAGTGCTTGGGTTTGCCTGGCTTTTTTTTAAAACTTCTTTTTTCACTTTCATTTTTTTCATCATGAGGAGAATCAAAAGTAGATTCAATGTCCTGTGCGGTTTTCTTTCTGTGGTGAGTGTAAAAGTTTGAAAGGAAACGCTGTTATTATTCTCTCGTGTGATATTCTCCTATGGGACACTCATTCTGTCGTGGCGAAGAAATGAAGCTATAGCTTTTGTGGCTTGAGCTCTTCCTTGGCAGTCTGCTACCACCTGCCTGTTTGGGATTATTTTTACCCTTAATTCAGCGCCTCGATCCTCCGATGCTCCAGGAACACCGAGAGCCGCAGCACTGCCTGGAGTTCAGCAGTGATGCTCATACTGCTCTTGATCAGCTGAACTGCTCCATGGCCTCATCCATCTCCTACTGAACCAGCACTTCACTGACCTCAGTAGGAGCTCGATCAGATCCTAATTGAATATTGGGAAGATAAATTGGGATTGATTCCAGCTGTAGTTTGTAATAAGCCTTTTCATCATAAAATGAAGATAGAAGTAAAATTAATACCAACAGTTCGCTGAATTTTGACCCCAGTTCATTTATTTTGGTCACCGGCTTTTCTCATGCCCAGCTTGAACACAGTTCTAATTCATATATTTTTTAAAACCTGCTAGTCTGTTACTCGGTAATTGGTAATAGGTTATGGTCTTTTCCTTTGCCGTAGTTTTCTGCTTAAGATGAGGATACCTGCGTATTTTCTTCATATTATTTTTCTTCACAGGGCTTCCAAACAAATGAAATTCATTCTGTTTGATTTCTGCTGTTATCGGTCTGTAACACATTGGGATATATTCTGCGCTGGGTAAATGCACACAGCCTTTCCTACCCTCTAAACTCACAGACACATGAACAGAATGCAAAGGGTTTATTGTGTAGGTTTATAGCAGCAAGCCTACAAGCAAGCTGCAGAATACACAAGCCATACCAGTCTTTGAATACACTAGTATGTCTCGTGAGCTGTATTGTCCATCAATAGTGAGGAAAAGGCAGCCCAGTGGAGAGCATCTGCACCAGTCCTTTCTCCAGTGAAGGTTTTAGGAATTCTTCTCAAATTAGACATCATCCAGGAAAAATACTGTGATAGTGGTATCGATTCATACTGTGTTTGGAGAGGATATGTTATCTCAACAGGCTGTGGGTCAAATACTGCTTCATAAGTTCTGCAGAGCTGATGTTAAGGACGAAGAGCAATTCTGCATACAGCTTCTGAAGTCCAAAGCACTTAGTAGTCTTCCCAAAGGGAGAAAGAGATCTCAATAGTTATATTTAAATGGTTGTTGGAGGCACTAGGCTTAGGGAAGAAAAAAATCTTCCTTTTCAAAAGATGTTTCCCTGTTTTGACTGGTTTTCATTTCATGGCTGTGGTGCTTTTCAGCAAACCTCATTACACATATCAACAAATCTCCTTCCTTTCAAGTCTGACAGTGTTAATAAAAAGCCGAAGTTGTGACAGTTCTGCTTGTTGACTGTCTGAGCCTGGAACACAAGAGGGAAAACACGATGCCAGTTAACCATGGGAGCTGAAAACTTGGAGAGTAAATACAGTCATTGTACTGAACAAGACGACTTGAAATTCTGTCCACAAAGCGGGTTGTTGCTCTCTTTGGGGACCAACTGCGGAAACTGTTACGCTCTTGTTTTCCTTCTGTGTCCCCAGCATTGACAATTAGAAAGGAAACTACTAATAGCTTTTGAGGTAACTGGCACTAGGAGGAAAACTGTAACTAAGTCCCCAAAGTGGTTTCACTTCTTTTTTTTCGTCTTGTGCTGGGGTAGGTTTATGTCAATGGGGAGTGGGTCACCAGCATTGGAGAAGGAGGCAGCTTCGGGGAACTGGCATTGATCTATGGAACACCCCGGGCCGCCACCGTCAAGGCCAAGACAGATCTCAAGCTCTGGGGCATCGACAGAGACAGCTACAGACGCATTTTAATGGTAAGTTTATGGAGAAGGGCTTGTTTATGGAGTTGATATTTTTTTACTTTCTTTTGTAGCGCCAGCACTTCTATTCTGTGTAGAGAGCACACTGATGATAGAAGGCTGCGCAGTCTGGGCTCCTACATAAAAGAGACAGGACATGACGATAACATTGAGTAACTAAATTAAGGGAACTGAAGGAAAAAGGGGACAAGATTCAGCAGAGAGACGCTGAGTCAGAAATGCAATTGAATAACATTATGCATAACTATTATATGTGAATGAAAACCTCAGGAGGCCTCCATTACCCACCGAAGCTATGCAAATCCTCTCCTTTTCGTGAACCTCAGAATGTCTTTCAGCACTATCCCTTGCCTATGAAGTCTTTGTTTGAACCTGTATTATACTCTTCAAGGCAGGCAATACAAGGTAAATCCAGCTCCACTAAAAAAAGTGTCTCAGTTGGACTGTGCCCTCCATCTTCGTTAGCCAGCACACAGCCACACGTATCATAGGATGGGAGCTGCGGCGTCCCTGCTAATGATTTATTGCTCTGCTCCTTTCAAACTCCCTCATCTCTGCAGCAAAGCTCAACAGACCTGCTGGGCACCTAGGGTGTGTGCTAGCTTATGGATTTGCTGGTGGGTCTTGAGTGGTGAGTTTATAATGGAAACTTTGACAGATTATTAACTTTAGCAATGTCATAACTTTTTTTACGAGTTTGTTTCCAATGTCCATGTGCATATCTTCCTTCTCCATAAAATATTCCTTTCTTTTTGATAATTAACAGACATAATTCTATGTAAAGCCTCTTTCTCAATAGGACTTGTCTCTAAAAGCTGCATTGTTTAATTCTGTTCTGAAGGAAATTATGCTATGCTCTCAGAATAATAAAGGAGTGTGCATTTTGAGATCATCTGTATTTCCAGTGGATGTCATGGATAACAGAAAAATCAAAAAGGAATTGAGTAGATTTTACACTTAAATGATTAGTTCTTAAGCAACAGAGTGTGAGAGTGATCTTTATTTATACGGTGTGATGACTGTTGGATGTCTGTATGAAGCATTGTTGGGTTTTACTCTGTATTTCACAGACTGAGTTCTGTATCGCATAAACGAACATCACACTGACATCTAGAAGACGACATCTGATAGAAATTTACTCTATCCCAAAATATTCAGCCTGATCACTCCAAGACAAAATAGAGGAATAATTATGAGAAGCATACTGTCTTGTGGATAAGCGGGTTTAATAGTTTTTGAATGCTTCCCAGTACAGGGAAGCAGGCAGTAGAAACTGAGACTTTTCTGCAAGGTATTTCTAAAACAAAGAGCAGGAGAATTTCCTAACAGATTTAAGAGGCACACTCAGCTTATTTGTCCCATGTCCTACATGGATGCAGTAGAGGGGCGACTGAGATAACCGGTGCGATGAACCTGCATGGTGCAAGGAAGAATCCAAAGTATAAAAGAGAAGGAATGTAGGAGGAAAATAAATGTCAGGACAAGCTACATATTCATTGGCTTTTTAAGCATAGCTTTTTACACCTGCCTGTAACCTTGCTACTAAAGAATTGAAGGGACAGATTCACAGGCCTCGTAGCCTAGAGGTAATTTCAGTTTTAGTGTTGATGAAAATAGTGGTACCTAACATCATCCAACCCTGTGAGCTTTCAGGTTTGGTCATGTGTCCATTACCATCTGATAGCAGCTTTCAAAAGATGAATATCTGATGCAGAAACAGGATTTGACTAAAAGGGTTTAAAGTCCCAAGTGGAAAAGACTGTTTTTAATGCTAGCTTCAGCCATACATACAACTTGAATATTATGGATATACGTATATTTGATTCTAGTGTAGTGCTAAGTGCTTTTCAAATTAATTTACATATTCTCTGAACCAGTGATTGCTGTACCTTACCTAACAAGCTCAGTTTCTGCAGTTGATGAGACCTTTAACTTTCCATAGAAGTGGTTTTTCTCCCTTTCTCTCTTATGTTTTTTTTACAGTTGGGGCCATGAAAAATTGATTGTCTGTTACATTACATTAGATACCCAGACAGTGTAATTGTAGTATTCCCAATAGTTAGATAGGAAATATTTCAGGTAGCATGGTGAATTAATTGCTGCAGGTATAAAAAATGTCCAATTTTAAGCGCTGTCCACGGTGAATGCAATTTACCCATCCAGACTACATCAACTCTGTCATCTTTTCATTTATTTGTAGGTGCAGCATGGATAATTTCTTTGCTGTAGGTGAAATGAGACACCTATCTTTGTGCATTCGTGTGAGGGCAGGTTACAGTGGCTCTCTGCACATTTCCTCAGGCCTAAGAATTAATTACATCAGGTTTCAGTGGCTGCATTTCATACTTGAAGCTAACTCCACCATTACATGGCTGGTTTTGCTGTGCTTAGTTTCAAGATGTAGTAGTAGTAGCTGCCTTTCAAGTCCCAGAAACATGGTTTCCTGCCGTTTAGCCTCTTACCTTATGTTTCTAGAAAGTTGCTGGATATTTTGGATGCAGAAATGCTTCTGCATTTAAATAAGAGGTAGTAATGTTTAGGATATATTTTGAAATATATCATTTAAGTTGGTTTTAAAACTTGAGAGTGAGCAGGTTTTTCTTTTTTATTTTCTGTTTGCAAATCCTTTTTGTCCAAGGGATCAATCTTTTTTTCTCCCAAAGATATCTTTTTATTTTTCTGTAGTCAGATAAAGCCCCTCCATAACCCCAGAGAGTTTTTTCTTTCCTCTGCATTCCTTCCTGGCCATGACCAGCCCCATGTTTTCTCAGTCTAGTGTTGAAATTTTATTCAAGTTGTAAATATTTATTTGCAAATCGTGCCTTCAGATCCACACTTGCCAAAAAGATTTTATCCTGTCTTGAGACACTTGACTCTCTACCTCATTTCTCCTTGCAGGCTGTTTTGGGTCTTTGCTTCACATTTAGTCATTTCTAGTTTTTATTTTTCCTTAGTGCCATTTTCCCCACTTACGTGTCTCATTGATCCTGACTGGTTTATGGTATGAATAAAATGTATCTCCGGAGGTTTGGGAGTTTGGGTTTTCCTTTTTTTGGATGGACAAAGCCTGATGCAAAAAGTTCCTGCTGGCTTTTAGTTACACTTGTCATCCGTTTATTATTTAGCCTGTCCCAAAAGAACTTTGTTAAAACAGATATATTTCTTTATATTTCATTGTCTCAGCTTAGGTGCCATGATGGCTTGAAGGTCACATTCAAGTTTGTTTTAGCAGCTGTGATGATTGTAAATGTTGGGATAGGTGGAGGGTTTTTTGGTCAGGATTTGCAGTGAAATTGCTTGGCTTTTGCTGCAGTCCTTGACAAAGTATTATACCATGAAATTCATTGTACAAGATGGATTACAAAAAACCACTTGAACATGTTCCTCCCTCAGTACACTCACAAATTATCTGTCCATCTGTGTGTTCCGTTTATTTCATGAAATTATCTGTGCTGAGTTGCATACGTTTCACTCTGTTGCAAATTTTTTTATGTATATGTACCCTGTGTGCGCACACACAAGTGCACACGCACATTTATGTATATATTCTATATTTATTTACTTACATTCTTCTGGGAGAGAAGCAAAGGAATTTTTTTGCCACCGGATTCTCATGTAATTGAGTTGCTGAAATGTTGCTGCGCTCTTCTTTGCAATTGGGATTCAAGAGCATCACGAAGTGGGGAACATCCCAGGGTAGTACAATATTTGTATTCTAAATATAGCACATACCACAAATACCAGAGAAGCAAATGTCTGTATCCCAACATCAGATTGATCCCCCAGACAATTCAGTTCCCAGACTGAGGAAATTTGAAGTATTAATTTCTTGTAATTTCTTCTTTAAAAAGGCTTGATTCAGGGTAATGTAACTATCCTCTAGTACCCGTGGTCCAAGATACTTGGCTTTGACAGTGCACTTGCATGGGATACAATACTTTTTGCCTATTTGGCCAACTTTGCTCACTGAACGTGAGTTGTAATATTGGGATGTAAGTCCTGATAAATCAAAGGTAGTCAGTTCCTAATGTTATGCCCTCATTTTATTTATGCTAGTTTGGCTTTGGTTTACCATCTTTTCACAGCTTTGAACCCGGGAACAAGTTCTTTAACAAGTGTCTTTTTCTACTCAGATAAGATAAAGTCCCAAGGACTTTGTGTTGCCATAAAACGTAGGTTGAGTGGTGGCCAAAACATAAAGCAAATCCAAAGCCTGCAATCCATCTGACATCTGTGCAATATAGCACCAGGATCTTGCGGGCTATTTTGTTTTCACGGTCGATATGCATGGTGACTCTTTCTTTCATGCTCCTGCAAGAATGTACACCCAAAGCATCATTCAATATCAGGTTTATGCAGGGATTAAACAGGGCTGGAGCCGTCCAGAAGGCCATTCCGGCACCTCCTACCAGGATAACTCTTTTTATTTGAAATTCGAGCCATGCTTTGCCTCTTGGTTTGCCATTTGTTTGGCTTCTTAATGAAGGTGGGGATTTCTAGGAAGGACCCGATCAACTCCACCTGAAAAAAATGGAGCAATAAAGAAGATATGAAGAGTGCTGGAGGGACAAAGCAAAGAGGCGAGCAGAGGGGAAGAGAGACAGAGACTGGACTTGAGGAAGAAAAAAATGGAAGAAAACAGGGAAAGCAAAGGGGCAGTTGGAAAAGAGATGCAACAGTCCTATTCAACAAGACCTGCTGTTATCTCCGGGGCATTCATTTTTCCTAGCCTGTGTATTGCTTAAGTTTAGCCTAGGACTTGCTACATTTTTAAGTGGTCCTAAAACTGACTTTGAGCTGATTTCTGGGTGGATTTCACAAATGCAAGTGATCTTGTTTCTCCTTGGGACTGTTTCAGGGAGGAGCACTGCAGCTTAGAATATTAACGAGTCTTCGTAGTTAGTGGGAACCACTGTCTTTAAGAAGATGAGCTTATGCATGACAGCTCAGAACCGGGGAGAAAGTGAACAAAGGGAAGGAGAGAGAGGGAGAAGCAGCGACTATTGAAATAAGATATTAATAGGTTAGAAAAATCAGAATTAATAAAGACTTTTAAAAACATGCCATCAAGAACCCTGCCAGTGCAGAATTATTCATGTACATTTACTATTGTTTTTATCTGGCTCAAGCAGCACGATTTCTGCTGCTTCCCTTAGGAAACTTTTCTGCAAGAGAATAATTCTTGCATTGGGAAAACTTTTTTGATATTGATCTTAAATTAGATTTTCTTAATTTTCTCCTATTACTTCGAGTTATTTCAAGTTATGCTGTACTAAATTGTCCTGTCTTTCTGTCATGTATCTGTAGATTATTATCACTGTCTACCTAAAACGCTTGCAACAATGCGTGCTAGCTATGAGCATGGCATACCTATGATCCCAGTATTGAGCTGACATATACAGGCTGAATTTGTTTTGCTCCTTCCTTATCGGCTCTCCCCGAGTGTTTTAGCATTTCTTCAGGCTCTGTTTGGTTTGGGAGCACTTTTCTGGAGAAGAGGTACCGAGACAAGAGTGTAGCACACCAGGCGCCATCACATCCGAGCCATGGAGATGGAGCCTCTAAACTTCATTCCTGGATGATGTCTTTGAGTATACAGACCAAAATAGCCTTGGCTGTATTCTTGTTGCAGTCTGATGTTGCAAATCAGGTCTCATCTACTGTCTGTAAATCTCTTTCAGCTTTACAACTTTCCAGTCTTCTTCCATTTGTCAAACATTAGTGCTTTGGATTTTTTTTTTTTATTTGCATTTCTTAGCTGTATTTTCCAAACAGAAGTTCATTCTATTATTTTCTACTTCCATTTTGAATGTCTCCAGGTTTGTTCTTGTTATTTTCCTGTCCTGGCAAGCTTTCATAGTATCTCTTAGTCTGCAGATATCGTTATTGTCTGATTTGTTGCTGCTTCTAGAAGATCCATGAAAATATTGCATAAGACTTAGCACATGTCCCAGGGAGTGTGCCAGTCGACACTTCTGCAGAAACAACTTGAAGGGTAGGAGAAGAGGTTATGCTGGTGTTCATATCCCTGGCCTCAATAATTTGGGTAAAGCAACTAGACCAAATAAAACAGGTATAAAAAGGACATGAGGAGGTGATAATATGCCAATGGGAGGGGATGAGAGGGGAATATTAGGCTGATCAAGGAAGGTGGGAAGTAGGCATGTTCTCTGTTTCATGGGGAGGAAAAGATCATTAATACCAATGGAAATAAGCACATACTTGGGTTGTTTGTAGGATTTCTACTGCTGCATTGTTTTTAGCTTATGTTGAGTAGTGTTCTCTCGAAAGCTCGAGCAGGAAAATGCACTCAAGTGAAAACAATGTGCGTGAGGGTGAGCCAGGCTTCTCCTTTCTGGAGGAGAAACTGGGGTCTGGAAACTGTGCTGATCAGCATCCAGCCTCGTGTGTTCTGAAAATGCAAAGACAGCTTCTGTGCCTGCCTGGGCACCCTGAGGTGATGCTCTGCTGTCGGGTGGCTCATGCCACCCTGGAGACTGTTGTTTGTCTCCTGCGGGAGAGATGGAAGGTTGGATGGAGCCATCCTGCAGGCAGAGTCGTGAGCTATCAGTTGGGTCACCTTGGGTTTCAGTGCACGTGCTGGGAAACAGGACTCCTGAGCCTCAACCAGCAGTTCTTCTGTAGGCTCTTGTTCTCCCTTACCTTTGTGGCATCATTCTGAGACGTGGGATATTTAAGACAGTGAAGCTGTGCATTAAGTGGAGTTCCACTGAGGTTCTAGATACTATCACAATACAAAAAATGATGATAGCACATTTAATTAATTCTTTCCACTTCAGTTTTGCTTTTGCGCTTGTCTTCTAGGTGGATTCTGTACCGCTGCCCTGGCTTAGTTTAGCCAAGAACCAACCCACCCATTTTCCTGTAGGAAGTGATGGGCTCTTGCTCTCCGGGCCAGGCGGGATGCCTGCAATTCTTACCTTCCTGGGTCTTGTCTGCGTCTCTAAATACTCGAAGCTGTGGTCAGGTGTCATTTATGGCTACTGATTACTGCTTCTTAAAATTCATCTGTGTCCGCAAGTCATTTAAAAAGCATTTTCCACATCTGTCCCTGGGTGCCCCAGCCCATCAAACTAAACCACCAATCTGGTTTTCCACAGCTGTCAATTTTGCTGTTCTTGTTTCCACTCGATTGCAGGGAGGAAAGCAACAACTGCGCAGTGTCCAGGTTTCCATTCTTTGTCTCGCAATGAGCTGTCAGGATCTGGCGTGGTTTGCAGAGCCTCCTCCGTTTGAAGTTCTTTTTTTTTTTTTTTTTTTTTTTTTTTTGGGCCTTCAAATACTTTCGGGGGCCCCCGAGGTTGAGAACCAGGTTTGTCAGACAGAGAGGTCAGACGAGGGTTACCGATGCTATCGCTGAGAGGCGAACTGTCATCACCAGACTCGGAAATTATGAACGGGGTGTGGAGGGGGAGACCTTGGTAGCTGCTGCTGCTGATGATTCAGAGGTACCTGGGAAGAGTGGCAGCTCCTGACGGTGCTGCGGCTGTTTCGGAGAGGGGTGCAAACGGGAGCTGTCCCCAGGTGGGAGCACCCAGCAGCTTCTGCCGATGCCAAGGCCTGCTGATGTTGGTGGAAGGATTCCCGCAGCTTTGGTGGTCGTTGGATCAAGCCCCACCTGCACAATGAGTGTAGGAAGAGGGACAGTATTTAATTCTTAGTTATATCATTGCACTTGAGGACACCAGCCTTTTCTGTTTTCATACTTTCATGCATTTCTGGATGCTTTGACAGTGGAGGGTAAAATGTTTCTTCTCCTTTTCCTTTGTCTATCCCCACTTTCTGCCTCTGCTTCCAGCACTTTCTAGTGCTCACTCGGAGACAGAGGAATGGAGAGGTGGCTTTTTCTGTGGCACATACTGACATTTGCTTCTGTCTTTTCTGCCCAGCCCATAAGTAAATGCCATCTTTATTTCCCCTTTCTTCTGAGGAAGGATGTATCATCTTTTGCTGTACTCCTGCCTTGTAGATTTGACAGGCAGGCACCAGGCAGCCTTCGACATCCACGGGGAATCTACCCAGGCAGAAACAATGCGGGCTGTCATATCACAGTGTGGAATAAACTGCACAGTACCGAGGAAGACCCTGGAGTTCCTCTTTGGTACATGGGAAGGTTTTCTTTTCAAGTCATTTGTGTCTCTGCAGAAGGAGTTAAGGATGAATTAAGTATTTTTGCATTGGTAAAACTGCATCGTATTTATTCATACCTGAACCTCCTTCAGAAATGCGTGCTGGAATGGCTACTTACGGTTTCTGTCTGTGGTGATCCAACACTATGTAAGCAGAAGCTTTCTCAGTAATTTATCACACAATAAAATCTTAGTAGAGTGGGAACGACTGTGCTGGTGGCTGCACATGCATTGATGGATTGTCTGCTCCAAAACGCTTAAATCTTGTTAAAATAATAATATGAATGGGTTGCTCAGCAGTAACAATGCATACAACACTATACAGAATATAAACCAGGCTTACAGATAAACGCTCTTGGCATTAAAGAGGTTTTCAGCTAAAAGGCTGGGACCCATGAGGGGGACATTTTAAGTTTTATCCTACTTTGTAATTGTAAATTCCCTTCCAGCAGGGCCTCATTGGTAACAAGATATATATTGAATTAGCTAAACAGTTAATTGATGAAGCTCTGGCTTTAAAATGAGTGCCTGTAAATAATGGCTACAATTCATCCATGGTGTCCAGTAACACCAGTGAAGTCAGTGAAATTACACCAGGATTGCATTTGATTCCTTCTGTCTTCGCTTATCAGCAATAGAACTTGCCCAGACATTTTATGGGGAAACATTTGCCTTAGGCTGTTTATGCTGGCTGGGCTTAAGGTTTGGAAGGGGAGGGGAAAAAAAAAAAGAGCAGCTGTAGGAAGAAATCACAAAAATACTTTGTGTAATGTTCTACCTCCTTTTTCTCTCTCCTTTAATAACAGGGCAGCACGCTGAGGAAGCGGAAGATGTATGAAGAATTCCTGAGCAAGGTCTCCATTTTGGGTCAGTTGCCCTTTGGACTTTCCTGTTAGTTCCTCTGTTATATGTGTTGGCAGAATGAATTTTGGTCTTTGATGGCACGATGAAAGCAATGGTGGTCAAACAGAAGGCCTCACGGTTGCATCGTTTCCGAAGGAATGAAAGCGTAAAGGGCCCTTTTTAGGACTTGTTTTTCTCATTCTTTAACACGCACTGAGCATTTGTTTGAAGGGCAAATCTTCCCTTAAATATGGGAGCAGGCATTCACTGGTAACCCTTTGGTAGCTGCTGTTGCAGTAGAGACCATATGGATAGAGGAGAAAGCAGTGCAGAGATGTGAATTTGTCATAAAATCTAGTTACATCCTTCCAGGTGACAGGGGAGAAGCTTTTTCCTGTAAGAATACTGTATTTATGTGAACTAAACACACTAACCTCACAAATCAAAATGGACTGATTTTTTTTTTTCTTCTGTGTATTTTACAGCCCCTGTCTCACATTCTTAAAACATCTGTTTAGCTTCTTGTCCTTGGATTTTGTTGCCCTTTGATTAATGTGATAGCCACAAAATTTGGACATGTTCTTGATGGCCTTCAGTAGGAAAAACAACAAACCCATAATGCCTGACCAATCAATCACCATTAGGAGAACAAAAGCTTCTAATAAGGAGGACAGTGTTAGACAGTACAATGAAATGTTGGTGCTGTAGGAGAAACATCAAGTTTCTGCTGGGGCTATCTTGAAAAAAAAACCCACAACAGTACAGGATTAATTTGCTATATAATTAAAATACTTATATTTCTATTTAAACAACTTTCTTTTCTTGTTTAAGGTAATCCTCTACCATTTGAGCTTATTTACCTGAAATATGAGAGTCTTAGTGAAAATGTACTTGAACTTCTGCAAGGTGCTATGCATGAAATTTTCAATTACATTTGTACGCTTAAAGTAAGGCCAAGTATGTTGCTCACTTATTAATGAAGTTTTCATCATTTAAATGCCTTATTTCGTGCTTAATTTAAATCTTCCTAAGTTAAGAGCACAAATTATACCAAATTACAGTGAGTATTTAAAGAAAAAAGGATCTCTGTACCTGCACTAATGAGAAGCAATTACAACAATGAGACATCTCAAAACAATTTCAGAGTAGAAAGGTTATTCAAAGATGTGCTTCCTTAAACATGCGGTTTGCAATATAATTATATCCTAGTTTGTGGTATGGCTTTTCAATCTCAGTAAAAGTGAGGTAGGGCTTCAAGATTTGAACCCTTTTTTTTAAGTACGAAAAAGCACCAGACAAAATAACGCATCATTTCAGGAGCATTGAGAATTTAGGTGAAATGTGTAAGGATCTATTATTTCACACGTCTAAAAAGTAGACGACAGCTGGGAAACAGAAAGGTATTCTAGAAATCTCAACACAGCACTGAGAAGTCCACTTCGTACCTTAGTGTGGTCAGAACTTGGTGATTTCATGGTGGAAAATCCTCTATCTCCTTCTTATGTATATTTTTTCAAGGCTTGCGTAGTGTCTGTAGCTAGCCATATAGCTGTAAGAGCAATTATTATTTTTTTAATCTAAGGATTTTTTAGCTTTTCAGTAGTGTATTGATCAAGATTTGAGAAAACTAATTGTTTAGAATCTTTCTTCTGGAGTTGAATTAAATGTAAAGCCATGCATTGATACATACAATTTAGAAATTGCAAAAAATTGCATATGGTCTACTTTATTTGATGCTTGACTTCAACTCTGCAACTTAAAACTTTAGGAGTTTTATCATGTACAATCATCTTCTATATAGTGCCCTGTTTGCAAGAACCATTAACCAATGTATTTGTAGTGGTACAATTCCCTTAGACAAAAGAGAGACACTTCGTGACTACAGCTAGAATTAGCTTTGAATTTTTCATAAAGCCAACTGAAGAAGAAGTTTCAAGAGACTCTTTCTTTTCATTGTTAATTACCGAGTTCTTTTAAAAAAAAAATATGAAAAAGCCTACTCTAGTCTGTATGAAAGAGTTTTATGCTTATTTTTAGTCAAACAGAGCACTTTTTGAATGTTGCATTGGCAATATGGGCTTGGTCTTTGATATTAATTCTTCTGCAGCAAAGGTCACAAATACAGCAGGAAAGTAAGTGGATTAGTGATGATAGGTGGGGAAAATATTGGAAATCATCATTTCTCAAACAGCAACAGAAAGTGGCATAAAAACATGAAGACTTATGTGTGTCAGGCAACTCAAAACTTACCTTTGGTGCATTGATCACTGTGATCTGGTTTTGTTACTAGAGCCAGTGTGTGCTTCTGAGCTCAGCCAAGAGGCTTTTTAACTTTTAAAGAACAAAATTTTTTAACTTTTAAAGAACAAATACTTCTAAGCAATATTTTTAACAAAATGGGGAAACCAGAGTCTGAGAGAACAGCCCAGATCTAATCCTGGTGTCAGAAAATGTGTCTTGACTTATATTAGTTCAATAATTCATCATAAGTAAGAATCAGCAGAGCTCTAGTATGTGAATTTTAGCCCAGCTTTTTGAGGCAGCGAAGGTTGTATCATTATATTATCTGTTTCTTTTAATAACTTTTAAACCTGTCACTTCTTTCAGTCAAATCTGATAAAAGTACAGAAGTTCAAGCGCAATTCGTTGTCTTGAATTCTCATGCAAATGGTAGAGAGACACGGGTTGGCACCCCTCATCTCCCCGAGGGTAGGATGGGTAAAATTCATCCCCGGGAAAAGGCAGGAGGAGGACGGCAGCCCTGGACCAGCTGCTGTGCAGGCTGTCCCTCGCCTTGTGGGTATGGCCGGGGATTTGTGGCAGCTGCAGGTGGGGGATAAGGACACGGAGGCACAGGAAGCAGGCTGTGTTAGCTCCATTCCTCATAAAACACACCGGTAATTTTTTTCTTATTGAAGTTTACTTTGAAGTTTTCTAACTTTTCTCTCTAAGTGGGAGAATGAAAAGAAAAACACTTTGTAAACCATCCCGCTGGCAAATGAAACAGAGGTGCTGCTTCAAACGTCCATCCTGAGCCTTCGCTCTCACTGCCACCCACACCACCAGGGTCTTGCTGTTGGCTTCAGCCCTGCCTGGTCTCACCCACGGGGGAAGTGTCATCTCTTAGGTCGGCACTTTGGCATCACTTATCTAGTGGGCCATCAGTAACCGGCTGAGAGCAACTCTGACGAAAAGACAGTAGGACTTGTTCTGACATCTGGTGTGGGATGCAGTAAGAAGATCTCCGTGCTCCCGTATCGCTGGTATCTCCAAACAGCTCCTAGGCTGCTCCAATCCGCTGCAGCACCAGGGCAGCGCAGATCAGATCGCAGGCGTAGGGAACTGGAGCCAACTTTTCCTGTCCAACTTTTAAGATTATTATCTGGGTGATTACTAAAGTTTAAGACACAATGAATAAATACATTCATGTTCCCCAACTGGAGGTTCATGCAAAGTGCCTGCATGAAAGAAATGTTTCTTTTCTAACAGAACCAGGCATAGCAGAGCTGTCAGTTTACATACAAATCTTCAGCCAAAGTTAGAGTCTTTTTATAATACAGTTTTATGATCTTCAATATTTTAGAGTCCCTGGACAAATGGGAGCGGCTGACAGTGGCTGATGCACTGGAACCTGTCCAGTTTGAAGACGGAGAAAAAATTGTTGTGCAGGGAGAGCCCGGTGATGATTTCTTCATTATTACAGAGGTAAGATTGGCATCCTGATAAGCTCTGTGATTTCCTGGTAAAGATCAAGACTTTGTATTAAAGAGATATGGGTTCAGTTTAATCTCTTTCTTCAGCATAAATCTGAACTCACTCAAACCAGAACAATTGCTCAAAATTCAAATTAATTCCGATACCAGTTCCGTGGAAATGTCTTAAGTGGGACCATCCCTGATTTCCAGTAAATTGAAGATACAGAGGAATTTTGAGGTGTGTCTACTGTCTCTACTGTTGCTACACGAGATTTTTCTTATTTAAATTGCCAGTGCTTTAACCAGGCTGGCCAGCTACATGGTGCATTGATCCTCGTTCCCAAAGGGACTTACAGGGGAAGTCACAAGCGAACATCTGTAAACTGGAGCAGGAGACCTGATCTGAAAATGGATAATTTGTTCTTTGTTTTGCCTTAAACTCAGTCCAAATGGCTGAGCCATTTTCTTGTTTACTCTCACAGAGGCAGACAAATCTGTCAGGCAGCTGAAAATGCTGACATCTTTTTGGGAGATTATCTGACACTTCAGTTCCACCATCTCACTTCTGCAAACAGATGCTGATGGGGTTTTTCCTCCCTCTCTGACATAAATATTTGGATCCTTGCTATGTCACACAAATATCTAGGCACTGTGATATAACAAGTTATAAAAAGGTATTAGAGAGACTCAGACTAAAAATAACAAATCAGCGTTAGGCTATGATTGTGCATGTATTGAAGTACATACTTCTCAGTACCAGCTGTGAGTGTTCATACACAAATATATAGACTGGGAGTGACCAACACATGGTGGTGGGGTGACAGTTCAAGTGCAGGTGCCAGGCCCCACGTTACGTGGCCAGGAACGAGGCAGTGGTGGCACAGGAGCTAGGAGGCAACCTCGGTCCCTCACTGTGGGAGAAGGTGGGTCAGATGGATGTAAGGAAGCCGGTGTCATTGTGTTCCCTTGGGATCCAGTTGTATGTACCCAGGGTATGTCTCTGTCAGGCTGCTGTGTTGTGATGGGATTTAGGGGAAAAGAGATCCTGCCCCACTCAGGGGGTAAAGGGCTTTACAGCATCCACTGCAAATGGCTTAGAGGCCATCAGGTTGGGTTTTTTTCGCTTGCTCCTTATCTGTGAATTTTTGGACAGGTGCCTCTATCCAAGGCAGCCAGGATTTGGTTCTTAATCAATATCTGACACTTAAAATTCCATTCTCTATTTCCTCTTGAGTGTTGGATGCTGGTGCTGGAGTACACACTCGATTTAGGAACACAGTTTCTCTTCTGATGCTCACAAAATTGTCGGTGCAAATAACTGTGCCTGTATATCACACAGTGGGACACTTAAGGAACTTAAAATATGTGACGCGCAGTGTCCCTTCAAAACAATACTGTCAGAATAAAAGAGACTAATACTAGATAGGGATTATTTTTCATTATCAAGATACTTAGTATATAAGAAAATTTTTTATTTCTACTAGTGTTCCTATGTGTCCTGTTATTCCTTACAGTAGCATGAGACTAGGAAAACCTGATTTTCTTAGCCATCGAATCCCATGTGGAAAATTGGCAGCTTGCTTAAGAATTACCAAGGGCCTTTATTTCCCTCTCTTGATGGAACAGCTGTTAAGACTTGAATGGGTAGAAAAGTATTAACACTGCATACTGCATAGTCATAAAGTATCTGCTCACCTCGCCCTTCCACTATAAATCTGATATAGTTTCGCAGTTTGGAAATTGCCTATATTTTTCTGCATTAAAGAGTGAACATCCAATATCAACTATTTCTTGTGCTGCAGTAGTATTTGTGCCCGCTCACACATAGCTTAAGCTTTGTATTTTAAACCTGTTTTCACAGGAGTTTACATCTTTGATGTTAAACTTTTCTGCAGGAGAGCTGATGTGAGTCGCCAGGAACACATTATTCTACAAACTGGTTGAAAGTAGTTTTGGCTGGTTTGTTGTCACAATATGTTGAAAAGTCATTAGCTTCTTTTATATGTTTTTTGATGTTTGTGGCCTTATAATCCAAAACGCTCAAAATGCAGCCAATTAGTTTGGCTGCTATACATATAGAAAGCATTTCATATATCACCAGAATGCAGCCTCCTTCGGAGTACTCTATGTCCATTAGTACAAAGCTAAGCTTTGCCATGCAATTTTGGGGCAAGGTACTTATTTATTATAACCCATGGTCATTCATGGCATGCTTCAGTCAAATCAGTTCCCGATATACACAGCTTTGGTGCACCAGCATCACGAATACTGGCTCCAAGTGGGATCTTGTGAATCCTATTGTAAAAGCTTTTCTAAGGCACCCAGGACTACCCATGGATTTAAAATTGTTTGCACAGTTTTGTATGAACTTCATAAATTAACGATTCATTGCTGATTGGCCTGAAATGCTGCCCTCCTCTGTCACATCCCTGTGAGATACCATCTTTTTAGCATATTGGTCCTGCAGAAGAACATAGTGAATTGGCACCTTCACGATTTGCAGACTGAAGCGCAACCATGAAACCCTTTTGAAAGGGAGACTTCCAGCCTCCATGATGATCAGAACAGCAATTCCTGCTTTAAACCAGGAATATCATCCTGCTTAGGATGGACAAGAATATTTAGTCTCCCCCTTCTGTCTAGCAAGCACATTGACCTTTTCTCCTTTTTTCTTAGTATAACCTTTTCTTCACGGCTTTCTGTCCACCTTCTTATCTTCAGTGTTGCACAGATCATAGTGGGGTGCAGGTTATTTGAGATGCAGGCTGTATGCATGAAAATGCTACAGTGCCCCATGGAGAGCAAGGCTGCAGCAGGAGCTCAGCCAAATTATTAGAATAACAGAAAATGTGCACAGGGAAGCGTCACAGGAAACCAGGGCTTTTTAAGTTCACTGCCCACAAAGCTGTTTATGGTTCATTTTTTGTTAAAGAGTCTAATGAGAAAAGTATTACGCTGAGATTCCAGCACAGCTACAGTTTTTCTGCCATCCTAAATCTTCACAGGCACCAGTAAGATGTTTACTTGCAGTAGGTTGGGTGCTTTTCCATTTAAATCTCAAGCAGCCTTCAACAAGATTTAGTTTTAATATTTAAAGGCTGTGATTTTTTCCAGAGATAGAATTATTTTAATGTTTATACCATATTCCTTAATTTGAAGATAGGATCAGAAGTGAATGTCTGCTTACAAAAGCAAAGTAACCGCTTCTGTGAGATTGATTGACTACACTTGAAATTGGTAACTAAAAAAACCCAAAAACTCAGAAAAAAAGAAGCAGCCCTGCAGTTTCTGTATTTTCAATATTTCCAGGTCTTATTTTCCCACTCTGGTTTTCACACAACAAACTCGGGCTTTCCCAGACCAGACAGATGTGGAATGTATCTGCTGGATTCCAAGGTCATGGAATTATCCCATATGAGATTCCTGGCACAGAGGTGAAAAACTTTAAGCACCATGAAACAATTGTTGCCATAAAGAATTATATTTTGGCAAGCGTGAATCATAACAGATGTACAGTTTCTAACAAATAAATTTGCAGTTGTATTGTACACTGCCACACTGTGTACCCAGCAGTAGGGAGGATTTATTCATCTGACTTCAGATAACGCAAATATTTTTAGCTAGCATTTTAAAGTGGTAGCTTGCAAAGGCATGTGAGCTTTGCGGAGTTAAATATCCCAGCAAATGTTAAGTCCCTTTAAATGAAATGCCAGTTGAATGGGGGCTGATTTTATTCCCAGCTCGTGCTTTGCCACTGACTTCAGCTCGAACAGTAGTTCAAACTAGTGTAGTAGTGCTCTGAAACTGGAAAGAAATGAGGTTTATGCTGTTGTCTAGGTTACTGAGAAAGGTAGTGACAATAGTATTAAAAATAGCGGTTATGATCATGTACCACTCTCTTAAGTTCAGCTTCAAACCTGACTGGGTGGCACAGCACCTCAGAAAGTCCGTAACGCAGCTGCCAAAAATGCGGGGACCTGCAGCCGTGAAGAGCCCTGCTGGGTCTTCCAGCTCCCACCCCTCCCCATGTCAGATCATTTGGATCTACTTGTCAGGACCGAGCACCGTATATGGCACATGGATATTGTCACGGGACTCTGCCGACTGTGCTCAGGGAGTCTTTTAATCTCAGCTGCATACTGAGAGCTTGCTGAACTGCTGCCATATGGCCCTAATACTCCATAAAGTTTGACACGGCTTAAGAAAAATGCATGCACAGACACAAACGTACGCAGGTGTGGGAGGAGAGAACAGCAAAAGGTTTATAATAGTGCCACACTGCGCCCGAAGAGCACAGCTTGTAACTGTCCTTTAAATGTGCGCTCTCTCTCTCTCTCTCTCCGTAGCCTGTCATCTCCTTGGAGGACAGTTTTGGTTTAAGTGGTGCAGAAAGCAAAGAAATAAAACTGCATGAGAAGCAAAACATTTCCAATTAATAGTTGGTCGAGTTGCCCAGCATGCAGCAGCCTAAAAATAAAAGACCTAAAAATAGAAGATAATTCACAGGAGAAAATTCAAGGAGAAATGGACCCATTGTATCGAGTACTTTCACATTAGATTTTTGTTTTTAACTTTAAAAACTATTATATTAAATTGTAGATTAGTGCTAAGTCACAGGGGGTAGTTGCTCCCTCCTCTGCAACTCCTTTGTGAAAAGCACTTCAAAAAAAGCTGAGAATTTGTGTTCTTTGTTACTATCCTGCTGGTTAGAGAGGAAGCAGAGTCAGGGCATCTGATTTTCAGTCTCACCTGTATTATCAGTTCATTCTGTGGGCAGAACGTCACCGTCCCTGTTTCCAAAAAAAAAAATCCTAATGGCACTTCATACAGGTGAGCAAAAGCTTAATGGGAAGAGGCATAATGTATCTGTCAGTACTGAAACCAGGCAATGGGAATAGCACAAAATTGGCGAATAAGGGAACCATTTTCATTGATAGTGCAGAAAACCTTCCAGAATTATCACATAGAGCTGCCCGATTGACAAACATAAATAAAATTAGTTGGTAATGA